AACCAATAAATGATATCTGGACAATGCATGTAGGCTGTACTTTTACTTAAGCCAAGCAACAGTAGGGGCTCTCAGACTTGTTGTTTTAACCATTTTTTAACCATTATGTATAAACCTTGTACTACCAGTCTGCAGGGATCTAGAGTAAAAAGGTTTTATTATATATAGGGTACACTGTGCTGTTTGAATGGGGTAGATAAAAGACTAGGTGGAGATGTAGGCCTCGAGATCACAGGGCTGCATGTGTTAGTGATTGTCTTACACCACACATGGTACATTGAACTAATACAACAGCATGTTAGAGCCGTCAAACAAGTTCTTGTTGACTGAATTGCAGCAGATTCTCTTAGTAATGTTGAAAATGAAGATCACCATGCAGTCAAAATGATTTTGTTGTAAAATTTTTAACCTGAGTAGGGAAAATAGGGGTTGACATCTGACATTTTCTGAATACAATAGAACTGGAAGTTCATGAATATGTTTTTAACTCATTCACCACATCACCAGAACACTGATATTGGTGTTGAGACGATGCCTATAACGGTATGAGAATTACGTAGATGAAATCTTCTAACTAATTGACCAACTCGTTCCTGCTTACAAAAAATATCAGCCCTTTATAGGCTACTACAGGATCAAGTTATTTGCATCTATTTTATTTTATTTGTTATTAAAAAGACGTATGTGAGTTGTTTTAACTTTTTCCAAATCAATTGGTCTTTTGTTTGCAATAAAATTGATTTAAACTAAACTTAGAATTTAATTAACAAAATTGTATCGAAGGAAATGTGACTTAATAGTTTGATAAAGTGTTTGTTCATGAAACACTGAAGTTTCCATGTTACAGTAAATAAAGCACAATATTTGGTTTTGAAATAATTTCAGAATGTTTAGATTAACTTTCTATAAAGCTCTTGGATCATTTACAAACTAGTGCAGTTTATGTGCCGTTTAGTAACATTGTATTTTATATCTTACGCAAGATTAATTTTGTAATTATCTAAAAGTATATAAAGTGTGTTGTATATTGGTTTATATCTTATTTATGTATCTATGATAAATCTATTTGTATGTTTTAGTATAAACGTTTAGAAGTAATGTAACGTATGTGAGGATACGGTATCTTCAGATAAAGTTTTTATCGTTTGTTGTGTATTGTATTATCTGGAGCAGTGTTATCTGTACATCTCTACTTTGCAGTATTTACGTAAGTTTGAAGGAGGTCAAGAACAGGTGCTTGTTGCACGCAGTCTAGATCAGGATATATTTTATCATATCTCAGAAATCTAATGATGAAAATGTTGACCTTTAAAGGCCCATTTAGTAAATGGTTGTAGAGATTTTCTGTATCTTTATCCTGGTTTCTTGTTTAGTTAGTAAAAGGTTGTAGGAATTCTCAGTATCTTTATCCTAGGTTCTTGTTTAGTTAGTAAAAGGTTGTAGGAATTCTCATTATCTTTATCCTAGGTTCTTGTTTAGTTAGTAAAAGGTTGTAGGAATTCTCATTATCTTTATCCTTGTTTAGTTTGTAAAAGGTTGTAGGAATTCTCAGTATCTTTATCCTTGTTTAGTTAGTAAAAGGTTGTAGGAATTCTCAGTATCTTTATCCTGGGTTCTTGTTTAGTTAGTAAAAGGTTGTAGGAATTCTCATTATCTTTATCCTAGGTTCTTGTTTAGTTAGTAAAAGGTTGTAGGAATTCTCATTATCTTTATCCTTGTTTAGTAAAAGGTTGTAGGAATTCTCAGTATCTTTATCCTTGTTTAGTTAGTAAAAGGTTGTAGGAATTCTCATTATCTTTATCCTTGTTTAGTTAGTAAAAGGTTGTAGGAATTCTCAGTATCTTTATCCTTGTTTAGTTAGTAAAAGGTTGTAGGAATTCTCAGTATCTTTATCCTTGTTTAGTTAGTAAAAGGTTGTAGGAATTCTCATTATCTTTATCCTAGGTTCTTGTTTAGTTAGTAAAAGGTTGTAGGAATTCTCATTATCTTTATCCTTGTTTAGTAAAAGGTTGTAGGAATTCTCAGTATCTTTATCCTTGTTTAGTTAGTAAAAGGTTGTAGGAATTCTCATTATCTTTATCCTTGTTTAGTTAGTAAAAGGTTGTAGGAATTCTCAGTATCTTTATCCTTGTTTAGTTAGTAAAAGGTTGTAAGAATTCTCAGTATCTTTATCCTTGTTTAGTTAGTAAAAGGTTGTAGGAATTCTCAGTATCTTTATCCTTGTTTAGTTAGTAAAAGGTTGTAGGAATTCTCAGTATCTTTATCCTTGTTTAGTTAGTAAAAGGTTGTAGGAATTCTCAGTATCTTTATCCTTGTTTAGTTAGTAAAAGGTTGTAGGAATTCTCAGTATCTTTATCCTTGTTTAGTTAGTAAAAGGTTGTAGGAATTCTCAGTATCTTTATCCTTGTTTAGTTAGTAAAAGGTTGTAGGAATTCTCAGTATCTTTATCCTTGTTTAGTTAGTAAAAGGTTGTAAGAATTCTCAGTATCTTTATCCTTGTTTAGTTAGTAAAAGGTTGTAGGAATTCTCAGTATCTTTATCCTTGTTTAGTTAGTAAAAGGTTGTAGGAATTCTCAGTATCTTTATCCTTGTTTAGTTAGTAAAAGGTTGTAGGAATTCTCAGTATCTTTATCCTTGTTTAGTTAGTAAAAGGTTGTAGGAATTCTCAGTATCTTTATCCTTGTTTAGTTAGTAAAAGGTTGTAGGAATTCTCAGTATCTTTATCCTGGGTTCTTGTTTAGTTAGTAAAAGGTTGTAGGAATTCTCATTATCTTTATCCTGGGTTCTTGTAGTAATGTTTATCGTGTAATGTTGTAAGATTATGGTTTGTACATCAGATGTAGTCATTTCTGGAGGTCTGTTGCATTTCTTCAATTTATACTATAAATAACCTTAATTTTTGTGTGTTTTTTAATTTTTAAACTTAAATCTAATCCGAAAGTTTTATAGTGGAATAAACCAAGATCAAAATTGATAGTAATTTATTTTTATTTTGCTTATTACATTAAAGTTACTGAATTAAATAGCAAACAAACGGTCTTCTGAATGATTGCAAATATAGATCTCTAGTGAAAATAAAGTGCTTGATGAAAACCCTTCTGATACAGCAATATTTAAATATCAGTAAGATGAAGCTACGATGTGGAGGTGTTAAGCGTTTTGCCAGACATAAAACACGACTGTTGGTAGCTGCTGATGCTGGTTCACTTGGAGTTGGTATTGATTTACACCAGATCAAACACAACATGGCTACAGTATTTTGCGATATTTCCGTATTTAAATTAGTTTAGTGACAACAAATTACATTGTGAAATAGAATCAAACGGTCATATGTCAAATTTAGTACAGGTACTCAATGATATTATTTTGACTTTATTGTGATATATAACATAGAAAAATCAGCTGAATGTAGTAGTATTTAATCTAGCACTGTCTGATCGGATTAATTGGTACTGTTGTGGATTGGGAAATGGTTAAAAGAATTAAACAAACCTATACAACATTCTGTGATAGCGTGCGAGTGGGCACAATTAAGGATGCAGAATTTATGTTTTTGCGTAGACAAAAACAGTATATTGGTTCGACTTTAGAAACCTGTCATTATTTTTCTAAGTCATTGTTATTTGTTGAGTGTGACTGGTGTGGGCTGTCATTGTATTAATGCTGATTCAGCATTTAACACTACCTGATCCACACTGTACAATACACATAGGCTGACCATGTCACGGTCGACACAAGAGGCGCAGTGTTTCACGACAACTGTATGTGTGTAGGGTGTTCACTCATGTGTGTCGGCCCATCATTTACTCTGCCACTCTGATGTCATTATCAGGAATACATATTTCTTTGGTAGAACAATATACCATTGATTGTTCAATATAGTTCATTGATGAGGTGAAACATGGTCTACCCATTTCTGTTACCTTATAATCAGTCATTTCCTATACTAACACCTGTTGAAATCTTGTCTCTTGATCAGTGATAATTGTTCTAATTATGGCGTTTCTGAATATTTTTTCATTCATTATAATTCAAGATGGCCACATTGGATTGAAACTGACACTATTTTATTATGCTTGGGTGTAATTACTGCAGTGTTAGGAAATTCTAGATTGAAATCATTCGAAAACTTGGATTGACTGACTGATCATAAATTGGAAAGGAAATTATTTGTCAAAACTGTCAACAAAAATGGTACAATATGGTTATTCTGAAATTCTTAGCTTGTATCAGAAACGTTTTTATGCAGTCTTTATCAACATAACCATGACATAAACTTATACTTGTGTAAAGATATACACTATCTTTAGATATTTATATCATTATTAAGATAAAGATATGAGAACTTGTCTTTAATAGTGACATACGACAAAATAAGGATGGCTTTGTAGGTGAGAAATTCCTTGTCCAGGTAATTTGACAGGCACATGGCATTTCTATCAGGATTGTCTGGGAGACACATGTATCATTATATATATGAATCTTTAGAAAAGCTACCTTTTATATTGAGTGATACCAGGCTATCATGAAATCTCACACTGAAGACTGACAAAATACTGGTGGAGATGAAGTGCTGTATATCAGGAATTTTGAGTATTTTGCAGATTTTGTGTTTGATTTTTGGATTGAGTGAGATCATAGTTTAAAGTGCTTACATAGATTTATGTTTTAAAACCTTGGTATGTTCGACATCATTTCCAGTGAAAGGAAAAACTTCGTTTGTAAAATAAAGATGGTAGTAGTGAAACAATGATATTAAAATGTTGCTTATTACTTAATATGGTAATAAGCCCTTCTTAATCGATATGTGAAAATAAGAATTACAAACAAATGCCATTTCATTGTCCTTTGATAAGCCCACTCCTTGACTTTGGGCCAGACTTTTGGTGATGGCCACCAGACTTCTCGCAGAGTATATACCCTGCCTGTATACTAATAAGTAGTTTTCTTACATTAAAACTAATATGCCTTCTTATTTATGAATTTCTTTCCCTTTCTAGGGGACAACATACACCTCAAGATTCTCGTCCCCAGCATCGCCGCTGGAGCTATCATCGGGAAGGGTGGGGAAACCATTGCCCAAGTACAGAAGGAAGCTGGCGCCCGAGTTAAAATGTCCAAAGCAAATGACTTCTACCCAGGTAAGTACTCTTTTGATTCTGTCTTCATGTTTTCTATTACACCTGGTTCACCACCCATCCCACTAGCTCACCACTTATCCCTTTAGCTCACCCCTTATCCCATTAGCTCACCATCCATCCAATTGTCTCTCCACCCATCCCATTGGTTCACCACCCATCCCACTAGCTCACCACCCATCCCATTGGATCACCACCCATCCCATTGGCTCACCACCCATTCCATTTGTTCACCACCCATCCCATTGGCTCACCAGCCATCCCATTAGTTCACCACCCATCCCATTGGCTCACCAGCCATACAGTTTGCTCACCACCCATCCCACTAGCTCACCACCCATCCCATTGGTTCACCACCCATCCCATTAGCTCACCATCCATCCAATTGTCTTACCACCCATCCCATTGGTTCACCAGCCATCCCACTAGCTCACCACCCATCCCATTGGATCACCACCCATCCCATTGGCTCACCACCCATCCCATTTGTTCACCACCCATCCCATTGGCTCACCAGCCATCCCATTAGCTCACCACCCATCCCATTGGCTCACCAGCCATCCCATTTGCTCACCACCCATCCCATTTGCTCACCACCCATCCCATTGGATCACCACCCATCCCACTGGTTCACCACCCATCCCATTGTCTCACCACCCATCCCATTTGTTCATTATCCATCCTGTTGGTTTCCCATCCATCCCATCCATCCCATTGACTCATGGGTGACCCATCCCATAGGCTCAGCATGAAGATTTGACTGAAGAGATGCTGGCAGAATAACAATGAAGATGCATTACAGCTGTGGGTCTGATTTTGTCTCAACAGTATTTCAGTAGTTTTCCTAAATCTGTACTCTGCTGGCATTATAAGAAATGCTTATTGATTAAACATTAAAAAAGAATTTTAATAGGTCATGCTTTTGACATCGGTGAAGAGAGCATGAAGAGCCATAGGTGATGCTCAGATCAATACCACATTCATATGCTAATAACAGACCATTATATTGAATTAGCCTTACACATTGGGAATGAAAGTCTTCGCATACCTTGCCAAATTCCATTATAGACTGGGAGACAAAATTCTATGCATGCATTTTAAGTATTCTCTGTAACTATAACCAAACTTCTTATTTAATCAAGTTAAGCAAGCTGGGGTTTTTTTAAGGTTTTAAGGTAGAGAGACAGAAAAAGAAAACCTCAAGATTTGCCCACTATTATTGGTTTTTAACAAGAGTTTCATTCCTGTTACTGCAGCATATTTAGCCTATTGACCAACACCTTTTTAGTTCGCATACAGAAGAGATGATTGTTTTCATAGCTTTTGAAGATATTATATGAAAAATTTATACCTTGAAAATTAGAACTTGTAAAGTGTTGTGTTTTACCGAAAAATGTTATTATTTTTTCGCCTTCACAACCCTTAAACACATTATTGTTTTCCTATCTGTTCATATTAACCTGACAATTAATTCTCTCATTATTTTGTATTGGAGAGTATATATAGTCAGTCATAACTGTGGCCATAACACATCATCCCTTTGTTTAGTGTGCAGACTGCTTATCAGAACAAATACAGTATCAGCTGATCTTACCATGATAACTACTCTTAAATTGAAATCTCCCATGTTTATGTTTGAACGCCTGTAAATATATACTACAGGGGTTGTTTACTTGTGGTATATATTTATATTGCCAGTCACAACCTGTTTACTTTGGTACAAATAGATTTTCTATCCTGTCTATTTCTCAGACTGCATAGTGATGATGTTGATTACACTGTAATTCTGCAGTGGACCCCTACCCCAGGTATGGGAGAGTTAGAAAAGCTGAGGCTACCCCAGGGATGGGAGAGTTAGAAAAGCTGAGGCTACCCCAGGGATGGGAGAGTTAGAAAAGCTGAGGCTACCCCAGGGATGGGAGAGTTAGAAAAGCTGAGGCTACCCCAGGAATGGGAGAGTTAGAAAAGCTGAGGCTAACCCAGGGATGGGAGAGTTAGAAAAGCTGAGGCTAACCCAGGGATGGGAGAAATAGAAAAGCTGAGGCTAACCCAGGGATGGGAGAGTTAGAAAAACTGAGGCTAACCCAGGGATGGGAGAGTTAGAAAAGCTGAGGCTACCACAGGGATGGGAGAAATAGAAAAGCTGAGGCTAACCCAGGGATGGGAGAGTTAGAAAAGCTGAGGCTACCCCAGGGATGGGAGAGTTAGAAAAGCTGAGGCTACCCCAGGTATGGGAGAAATAGAAAAGCTGAGGCTACCCCAGGGATGGGAGAGTTAGAAAAGCTGAGGCTACCCCAGGGATGGGAGAGTTAGAAAAGCTGAGGCTAACCCAGGGATGGGAGAGTTAGAAAAGCTGAGGCTACCCCAGGGATGGGAGAGTTAGAAAAGCTGAGGCTACCCCAGGGATGGGAGAAATAGAAAAGCTGAGGCTAACCCAGGGATGGGAGAGTTAGAAAAGCTGAGGCTAACCCAGGGATGGGAGAGCTGAGGCTACCCCAGGGATGGGAGAGAGTGAGGCTACACCAGGGAAGAGTTAGCTGAGGCTACCCCAGGGATGGAAGCATTAGAAAAGCTGAGGCTACCCCAGGTGGGAGAGTTAGAAAAGCTGAGGCTAACCCAGGGATGGGAGAAATAGAAAAGCTGAGGCTAACCCAGGGATGGGAGAGTTAGAAAAGCTGAGGCTACCCCAGGGATGGGAGAGTTAGAAAAGCTGAGGCTACCCCAGGGATGGGAGAGTTAGAAAAGCTGAGGCTACCCCAGGGATGGGAGAAATAGAAAAGCTGAGGCTAACCCAGGGATGGGAGAGTTAGAAAAGCTGAGACTACCCCAGGGATGGGAGAGTTAGAAAAGCTGAGGCTAACCCAGGGATGGGAGAAATAGAAAAGCTGAGGCTAACCCAGGGATGGGAGAGTTAGAAAAGCTGAGGCTAACCCAGGGATGGGAGAGTTAGAAAAGCTGAGGCTACCCCAGGGATGGGAGAGTTAGAAAAGCTGAGGCTACACCAGGGATGGGAGAGTTAGAAAAGCTGAGGCTACCCCAGGGATGGAAGCATTAGAAAAGCTGAGGCTACCCCAGGTATGGGAGAGTTAGAAAAGCTGAGGCTAACCCAGGGATGGGAGAAATAGAAAAGCTGAGGCTAACCCAGGGATGGGAGAGTTAGAAAAGCTGAGGCTACCCCAGGGATGGGAGAGTTAGAAAAGCTGAGGCTACCCCAGGGATGGAAGCATTAGAAAAGCTGAGGCTACCCCAGGGATGGGAGAGTTAGAAAAGCTGAGGCTACCCCAGGGATGGGAGAGTTAGAAAAGCTGAGGCTAACCCAGGGATGGAAGCATTAGAAAAGCTGAGGCTACCCCAGGGATGGGAGTATGAGATTAGCTGAGGCTACCCCAGGAGTGTAGAAATGAGGAAACTTAAAGCTATCACAGGGGTGTGGGAATGAGGAAATATGAGGCTATCACAGCGGTGTAGGAATGAGGAAACTTGTAGCTATCACAAGGGTGTAGGAATGAGGAAACTTGTAGCTATCACAAGGGTGTAAGAATGAGGAAATGTGAGGCTACCAAGGGGTGGAGGAATGAGGAATATAAAGATGATAGACCTGTAACTGTAGGGTGGGGAAGGGTAAGGTTGCATGTAAATGTAGACCTTCATGATTCTGAGTGACAGGTGTTCAGCAGTATAAAGCTACTGAAGCATATATCTATACTAGTATGATGTGATTACTTTTGTTTTTAGGTTAATTGAGTCATATCTGCCAAATAGACATATCATTTCTGTCTGGAATTGTTTTTGATGGACGATCATGTACATGTCAAAATGTAGAATTTCTGTCAAGTTGAGGTCTGAGTATATCACTGTTAAGGTATTTATGAATAATACCTTGTGTATCAATGTCACAAGATAACTGTATTAATCCAATAGTGTTACCTGTGAAAAAGTCGTACCAGAAAGAATCTCTACGTATTCTATACATTTTCCAGGACTTGAGCCCCAGGATGGGTTGCTGTGTGTCTGTTTGCCAAAATTGGCAGTAGCTGGCAGAGTGCCAGCGTTGGTGCTCTCCAGGATTCACAAACTTAACCAATCTGTCCATCACTGCACTCCCTCTTCCTAGAATCAACAATTTAAGTCTGGGAGATGTGAAATCTGCACCGCCCCATGATAACCAGCACCATTGGTCTGTCCTTGCTTTTCCCATGCTCTTGACATAGTCTTTGTCAAAACCATGATAAGATCTCAACCCCCTGAGCTCAAAAGCTAATGCAATGCAGGCATAAGATAATGCTACAGTAGAACTGGAATCTAGGATAGTCTGGAGATTTCCATGATCAAATCCTGTCTTAAGAACGTTCAGAAGGAGGTGTGACTGTTATAATGCATTTGATACAACTCTCCATTATCAAGTTGTTGGGGATGTCAATTTGTAGTTGTCCAGGAGTAGGTTAGGAAATTAGACTGTGAGGAAGTGTCCATACTATCCTATGGATGATATATTGGGCAATCCTTACACAGACAGCTACTGGTTAGTGGGAAGGAAATGGTGATGGAGAGACAATGTGAAGGTATTAACAGGCACACAACTCTTTGGAAACATTTGTATTCTCTTACTCCACCCTTACAATGAAGGTATTTACTATCATTAGAACCCCAAGGTACTTGTTGTTAATAATCATGTACACATTTCTGATCATTTTGAAATTTTTGTTTGAATGTCATTTCAAGTTCATTTATAAAATAATTGCAGTTTTTAGGATTTGTGAAATCAGTTTGCTGTGAGGAGTTTTAGGGTTTTAAGGGTTAAGGTCACCTGCATCTATTATCCATTCTCAGTCTTTATATATTTCTTTATATCACTATTTCCTTAGAAATACTGGACGGCTAGGTTCCTCTTGGTCCCTATTTGTTGTGTCCTTTAGATTTTGTTACTGATCAGGTAAAAAAAAAAATGGCTGACAGGTGGCCATGTTGAAAACTTTGTTTTAAGTGTTCTTTATTACTGAATG